ACCGTTGTCATTCTTTTACCAATCGATGCTAGCGTGCAAGAGGAACCCTTCGGCAATAGTAATAGGTTAAGACAAAAAGTCTTGTTGTCTATGCCATTTCTGCTCGTAGATTTTTTTTCACTCTATACACCTATAAAAAAAATCTCACGACTCAGTGGTGCTTGCGGCATGGGGTAGTGGTCTTGTTAACGCTGATTGTGGCCTGTGGGTCGTATTATCGATACTGCATACCTAGCAATATAATTTCATTCCATCTTAACTGTGGTGTGGCATTACAACAGGGAGGTATGACCTTAACTTTTTACTCGTACTAAAATGAGCTGTGGTAAATATAACATAAGGGTGAGGTACGAAAAAGGGCTCACACACAATTTAAAAAAAGGGGTAGGTTGGTAGCGAATAACGTGGTGGGCGGTAAACAGTTCCCAACAATTTTCAAGTACACCGTGAGATAAAGAAGAAAACTCGTGCAGAAGATGTAGAATTACTAAATTTTTGCTTCGTTCTTGGTCCGTTGGCGGCAAATTTACTCGATTAAACAACTTTGACCAAGATAATAAATTCATTGATTAGGTCCCTGCTCCTTAAAATCGAAAAATACTCGACACATTCGGTATTTACGTTTAACATCCTATTCATTTCTACAGACTTGCGCTTTTTGACTGTGTCTTAGTCTGAATTAGTAGGTGTGCAACCGACAAAGCCCGAAGGCTACGGAATAATTGAGATTGTATGCCATCCTGGCTTAAGTCTGCGGTCGGCGATTTACATCAAAGTAGTTTAAATTTTGTATAAGAACTCTAACGCAAAATAATTATGAATAAAAGCGAAGTGATTGTAAAACACAATCCGCTAAAGTGGACGAGTATATTGCGCCTGGTGAGACTGAGGCTATGAAACCGATGTAAAAAAGGCCGATGGTCAATACCGTAACGCGTTGCTCTTTCAGCTCTTAAACGAACATGTATCCTATCGTAGAAATGCCCAGTATTAAATGAATTTCACGCATAACTTATACCTTGTTATTTTAAACTCATACAATGTTTGTTTCAATCCGCTCGCACAATGGTCTTTTATTCCTAAAACATATTTAATCGAAAATAAATGAGCATCCCGAGGGATTAAATTCGTGCGATTTTGATCCTGAGTAAAGAATATCACATTCCTATACTAAATTTACAACTAGAGGGGGACTAAGGTATAAGGGTAGTAAACTAGATAATTTAAGAAAAAGGATGCTCTGAGCAGTTTTAACCACACAAATGGACATCTAAAAAACCACTTATGGTGGCCAAGTAGGCAGTAGAGAACCGTTCCTAATAAATTTCATTTAACTGTTATTATACTAAAATTGCAATTTTCCACTTTTAATAATAAAACACTTCTGACTTTCTATGACTCGAGACACCCCATTCTTTCTCTTCAACCGTTATATCTAATAAGTGTTGTAGATGGAATCATATCATACCAGCATCGAGCGATGTCAGCCTCAAAAAGATTTCAAAGCCTCACACGATTCCTGATTTTGTTGATACATTTTAGGGCTCATATCGACCAATTACAGCCCGAGTCCAAGCAATGCTTTATCCATGATCCTCTTTTGCTTTTACTATTTCAGACGTAAATCCAGATGCTGCGCAGCTTCTTTCGCTGATAGAAGCATTGCAACTATCCACTGAAAACCCTGGTGGTGCCATGAGGTAGGCAAAGGCGTTCCGGAAACACCTAAGCCTTACTTTCAATCTTTTTTGTTACGGTGACATTTCTTGTTTTAAATTAAGGCTCTACATCTGAAGGGTTTCCTTTTCTTTGGATTCTAGCCAACCTATCAGACTTTTAATTAATTTTTCGTTTTGTGTAGTTTATCCGTAATCGATGCTTTTCTTAATTATGAAATAATATGCTCTGGTAGATAAGAAAAAAAATTGCGGGAAGTTTAATTTGTCAGAACTCTTTTATACATCTATGTGTATTCACATTGTGCTGGCAATTTTTGAGCCTTTTGCATTGATAATAGTACTTAAGACGTAGTTTTTTAAACGAAGAACGATCAACCGCTGGTTGAAGGGTTTTTTTAATAGGGAAAAATTGGAAATGTACAAAATTCATCACTTGGTAATTTCATAAAGTTATTTTTCACTAAGCCCCTAAATTATCTGAGGCATAACTACAGTTATACATTCGCAGATTTGTATTTTTTGTAACTTTCGAATATTCCTTTTTTGCCCAAACTGCCAATTTGTCGAACCACAAAGTCGCTTTAATCTGCGCACATGACTACGCGGCTCATTCGTTCATGTAATACCAATATATAAACGGATGCATTAATGTTGTAATATAACGCTATTATTGACTCCGGAATAAAGCTCATAATTTATTGTTATGTGATATTGATCTCAGTGCAATCGGATAGTGAAGTCGATGCACAGAATAGAGTGCACACTGGATCCTTTACGGCACATTTATAAAAGGAACTGTTATCTTCACAACAATCTTATTATTTCCACCACGCTGTAACTCTTACTAAAATTTGCAGGCGCACCACACCACACAAAAATTACCACACACACATCACTATCGCTCGGTAGTAAAAGATACACTCGTTAGGCATGATATCTTGCGCTATAAAGCATGTTTTTAAAAAGGAACTAAGGATAACGATAATTAAAATAAGTGCACGGGTTTGTCCGATACGGACGTCAAGCTCTGGAATATGAGTAATGAGCTGCTGACAATGAGCACGAACCAGGTTCTGACTGACATTGTGTCTGATTCACATTCTGTGCATAGTCATCAACTGTGCTTTGCTTGGCATCATGAGCTAGCGGATCATCGATCCGTCCAATCGCGGTCAGCTCAGCTGTGCTCAGTTCTATAGATCATAGCTTACGCGGGTTGCGCTTTAACGTCGCTTACTACCTTGTCCATAAAAACACATTTTCTTTTAGTAAACATTGAGCAGTACTCGCGTAAGCGGCGTGTGAATCCGGTGTCTGTCAATCGAGTCCTCTCTCAGCTAAGGGGACACTTCAAGCGTCTCCAGCCAGTCCGTCATCATCCACTTGGTGTTTAGAAAAAACACCACAACGAACTTTTGCAATCCAGTCCTAATACGACTGACCCGACGATCGATCAGCTTCATCGACAATACAGGGCTGCAGATGCTGCTACGTTAATCCGCGCGTTTGTTCCGATTTTTTTAATCGTCCTGACGTTGCCACCACGATACTAACAGCAATCTGTCCGCCGTGCATTGCGTCCTTCACGTCCTGTCCAGAGCCATGTTGAAAAATCACTAGTGCACGCTGTTCGGCTGCAAAATTGATCTGCCCACCACCTAAATTACACGTCAGCGATGTCGTCTGGCAAAACGCTTGCACGATCGCATGTACATGGCAGGCAAGATCTCAACTAGGTACAACAATAAGTGCACGCACACGACATAAAACACGCGAAATAAGTTGCTGTACAATTGATACGACGTACGTGAGCGTCTTGCAACTGCCAGTAGGTGCCGATATACAGATATCCTCCACGCGGTCATATGTGCTGGTCAAGGCCTTAATAATCGCCACAGCTTGCACAGAAAAGAAGGAGTGGATAACCATCATCAATAAGGTGTTGCAGACGGCTGGTGCCAGGTCCCGTTGAGCAGAGAGTTCGGCTGGGAAAGTCTATCACTATTTGTGATGTGTGTGGTAGTCGCGTGTGATGTGGTGCGCCTGTAAGCTCATAAAAAGGGTTACGGTGCGGTAGAAATAGTAAAAAAAGTTTGGTGGAAATTAAAATTTCCCATGGAAAGCTTATTTTACCAAGATTTATCTTCTAAATTTTATGCATGTCAGGCACAACACCTTCTCTCATACATGGATGAGGTTGCAATAAGCGTGTCCAATAAATTTTGTGCAATTCTAGTCATCACTAAGGTGCTGTCAGTCGTGTAATCACGCTGGACACAACGCGTGAAAATGATTTCTAAACCGCACAACGCTAAAGGATTCATGCTAAAAAGACGACAAAAATGGATAAAACTTACGGCATCGCATGAACGATAAGTAGTTGTGATTTTTTGATATAAGAAATTGACAAGATACGATAGATGCGACTGAGGTACGTAAAACACAAGTTCTTGCAGACGCGTCTGTTATATAGATGCAGCGAGTAAGAGTTTCCCGAAGTGGCCTACGTTCGAGTAATTTGCGCCCAAGTCAATGTACTTGCCGTAAACGGAACAGCAAGGCATAATCGATCGAGAGATTCCCGGTAACAATATGAGTTTGGTTGTAATTACTCCTGCATAAAAATGGAACATAGAAGTCACATTACAATGCAGCATGAAATACCTTAAACTCTCATCAGATTTAGCGTGCGTCGTATTTTTATAAAACGCCGAAATGACGCTCTTGCAAATTTTGACTTGAAGCCGTACATCTCTCTACATTCTTTTGGTGGAATCCCACTGATAAGCATTAACGATACGTGAGATGTATTGCATCGATAGAGGGATTGATTCCACTATCAGCTGTTACTAAACTTCGTTTGGTCATAATTTTATGCAACCGAATTTGGTTAGCTCAAGAACCGCCGATCTCCTGACATCGTTTCCGACGATCTAGCCTCCGCAAGTGATGCTTAATGCAGAAGTTGTGATTCATTGCATGTGTGAGAGATAATCGAATCAACAAATAACAATCGCCCTCTGCATCATTCATACAAATCATTTCGTAAGTATTTGCGATGAATACATGACCGCTGCAATTTTCAAAAGCCGGGGCACGACTCTAGCGTTTAGTAATCAGCCCTTTTAGTTGTTAAGTTCGATACCAACACAAAAATGAGTGGTGGCGACAGCTCCACAGGAGCGAGTCGCCTTCCTCTCCCGCCGGATCCCCTGGACGGTTCTCCTTCTCTGCAGGATGTAGCCGTCTCAACAAGTCCCAAGCCAGCTCCAGAACCAGCTTAATCCGAGGAGGACATGACTCGTCCCCAAAGACAGTGACATGAACATGGACGAAACCAGCGATGGATCGACTGAATCTACTCGTTCCCGTGATCTGACCGCGGCCGGCATGTCCACTGAAGTATTGACAAAAGAGGGAGCTGGACGGCTGCGGGAGATTGGTGTTGCTCACGCTACTGCTATAGTAGCCGAAGCTACGGTCGAGCAGAGGCTTTTCACATTGCAAGAAAAGATAATCCGCTTCACGATGACTCCTTGCTTCGACCGAGGACCTCGGATGAACGGACCGTGTAACGGGGCACCCTGAAGCTTGTACTGGTGACAGTACAAGCTACTTATTCTGATGACAGAATAAGGCGGTGCCTCGTAACTTCACGTACACTCGTACGTGCAGAGGAAGACGGTAAGAAGAAGCGAGTACTTGGTTAGAGTAAAAAGTAGAACTGTATTTATAATAGTTAATGTCTGCAATAAATCACTATTTATCTTCATCTAACTATGTCTAAATACAAATGTGTAAATCAGTTATCTGCTCACCACTCATTGCGTGCGTCTGTCGTGGCGCGTCTTCGTTGGTTGATATAATGGCCTATATCAACCAATTAGGAACTACTTGGAAGTGCTACAGAATATTGTCCTTATGACAATATTCTGAGAATATAACTCTTATAGTTATATTCTATTAACAATTTCTTATAAATTGTTATGTAACGATTCACCCCGTTACATCACCCCCCTTAACCATCAGTCACTTTAGTGACTGATTGACTAAATGGATACTCGTCCCAAATCATTTGGGACGGGGTTTGCACTTGTTGGTCCGCGTCCACTTTCCAACATCTCATCGCATGGTAAACAAGCCCATGCGATGCGCGAGCAAGGCCGCCGAGAGCGCGTCTGCACGTCTCTGTGCGGACGCCGAAGCAGAAACTACAGCAACTGATATCCCATCGGTTGCTGAATCGACTCAGCCTGTATCACCTGGTGATGCAGGCGCTGGTCATGAAGACACTCGTGTCTTCACAGAGTACGAGCTCGGTGTCTCGTACTCTCCTGATACGGATGACGGATCCGTATCGACGGCAATTGAATCCAAGCCGCCTGCCAAGCGTGGCATGGACGATGCTTTGCGTCGCAGCATCTTTGGTTCATCTGATGAGTCAGATGAACCATCGCCGAAGCGAAGGCGCTCGAGGTCGCGAGACTCGGGCGCTAATAGTGGTGTCGGTTCTCCTATTGACACCACTTCGCAACGAGGTGCCAGTACTTCTGTCGGCACGTCGCAGGAAGAGCGGGACCGCAATGTGTTGCGTCTCGCTCCAGAAAAGAAGGCATGGATGCCTCCTAAATCTGTCATGGATCACTTGTCGGCGACGACGAGTGATCGTTATCGAACACGATTGTTCGATTCGTCAAGGATTCATCACCTTGACCCCAGCGCGAAAGACTATCGCGCTGAACATGAGTTCTTCATCGATGCTTTCTTCAGACATCGATGGTACAGTGGGAATCACAAACGTGATGGTCTCTCACTACTTCAGGCGTGGAACGCCTACATCCATAATCTCGAGGATGTAGGTCGTGACGCTTGGAACGACAAACTTATCAAAGCTCGTGATAAGTTTGAAAAGCGAACCCCGACAGGTGCACGCTACAAGCTGCATCGTCTGTCAAGGGAGAAAGGATTACCCTGCCTTTCTTGGGGAGACTCGTGCCCATGTTGTGTGAACAACTCTGCACGAGCACCTAAGGAGGCTTACCTCCTTACCAGCCCGTGGTGGCGCGTACGTGTCTCTACTGAGATGTACGAAGGGATTGACAACCTGAAATCCCTTTACGACCGTGCCGGGAAGACTTTCTCCGGCGGTCCTTCTGCGGCACAGGATGTGTCGCGTCGTACTGCTCGACCAGACCCAGTACGTCAACCATCAATTGGGAGCGGGGCTCCCAAGAATCCCAGGACGGGGGATAGCCGCGCCACCGGACGAGGTAACTCGTCCGACGTCCGTTCACGTCGCGGTGGTTCAACAGCTGCTCTACTAGATAGCGCTGGCCACCGCGAGAGTCCTCTAATGGAGGTGGAGGAGGAGGAAAGACGCTCTCCACACGATCATGTGGATCGGTGTGTTCCCGAGAGCTTCTTTGATCGCGTAACGCAAGGGTTACGCGACGATCTCGAGCATGAGCGGAATAGGCGTCTCCAGATGGTGGACACTGCCTCGAAGCATCGAGCTGAGTTTGCCTTTGCTCAGCTTGAGAACGAGAGATCTCTGACATCTCTTCGTGACGAGCTAAGGGTAGCTCGTGGGATTGTTGATCGGTCTCGGGCTGAGATAACTGCTCTTCAGACCCTTGTTGATGCCCACCATCGGGAGCACAAGGCTCTCTGCGAGATGCTTGAGCGCAAGGGCGTTCTTCATCGGAAGAAGCAGCGTACTGATGGTACGGCTTAAGCCGACCAACGTAAAACGTGGGATGCGTTCGCATCTTACGTGGTAACTCGATCGTGTATGCATTGCCTAGGCGGTGCAATACACGAAATGGGCCAATGTACTTGGGTAGTAGTTTACTGCTACCCAAGTTAGTCACTACATGCTTTGGTAGATTAACCGTAGACAGTAGGACTAAGTCACCTTGATTAAATAAAAGAGTGTTTGCCCTTCCATTCTTGTCAGCGTTTTGCTTTTGCTTATCCACCGCTTCGGCGATGGAGTCTTGCACAAAACGGACTACCGTTTCACGAGCCAGTATGAACTCATCTGATGACTCGTTAGCTTCAGTGTGCTGTGAGCGCACTGCAGCGACAACAACCTTTTCTTCAGTGAGGGCTTCCGCACTCTCACTGGGATCATTGTCTTCAGTGAGGGCTTCCGCACTCTCACTGGCATCATCTTCTTCGATATCGATGTTATCGATATCGGCATCAAACGCAATGACTTCTTCGTCAGAGCGTGATGAGCGTGAACCAAATCGGTTTTTGCTCGCGCGAGTCCCTCCCCCTTAAACCAGAGTTACACTCTAGTAAGGTGGGTACACGCGGATGGCGCAAGCCATTCACGTAAAACGGTGTATGTGTCGTGGACGCATGCACCGAGTTGTTGATGGCAAACTCTACCATCGGCAAAAACTCACTCCAACTCTTAAAAGGAGTGTACGTATCCTCGAAGTATCTCTTCAAGGACACGATTGGCACGTTCCGTCTGACCATCTGACTCTGGATGATCAGATGTTGACATCTTCAAGCGCGTTCCGAGTGATTTGAACACGGAACGCCAGAAATCAGCAGTGAATCGTGGATCTCTGTCTGATACGAGTTCACGGGGCAACCCATGAAGTCGGAAGATGGTGTCAATAAAGACACAAGCACAGCCACTTGCCGTGATTGTCTCTGGTACAGCCACAAGGTGTACCATTTTGCTGAATCTGTCAACAAATACGAGAATACCCGTATTCCCGCGTGCGTCTTTGGGTAACCCGAAGACGAAATCCATTGAGATGGATTCCCAGCACTCAGCCGGAACCGGTAGAGGCTGTAAAGGTGCACGCAGTGAAGGACTTGACTTCACTCGTTGGCAGACTTCGCATGCGCGAACATACTTTCGCACAAACTGATACTGGCGGGGCCAGTAAAAGTCTCGACTTACCGTGAGATATGTTTTCTCTCGGCCACGATGTCCTCCTATAGGAGCATCGTGATACTCGAACATGATCCGCAAACGCAGATCAATATCATCTGGAATGACAACACGTGGTGTGTCACCAGAAACGGCTGTATAGTACAGTAAACCGTTACGAGTAGTGTATCGATCTGATGCAGATCGATACGCGGACGACAATCGTTTCAACGATTCTCGAGATGGTTGGGAGAGATGTGACAACAACTTCACTATCTCACCATCTTGGGCGTATGCCCGCCTCACATCATCATACAACGTTGTAGATGGAACTGAGGACGTCATAACCGCAACAGTGACTGTCTCACTGTTGGGTTTCGCGACTGTTTCAAAGTCGGGACGACGTGAGAGTGCATCAGCGACGACATTAAGTCGTCCTGGTTTGTACTCGACCGTAAAGTTGTATTCTGCAAAGAATGACAACCACCGCGCCATTCGTTGTGAAAGGTGCGGGCTGTTCACTGCCGTGCGTAAGGACGCATGGTCAGTGTAAACAACGAAGGGTCTATCTCCTAATAGATAGACTCTGAACTTCGCGAGTGCATACTTCATGGCAAGGAGTTCCTTGTCATGCACTGGATAGTTCCGCTCAGCTGGTTGCAGCTGACGCGACTGATAGCAGACGACGCGTTCAACGCCTTCAAGGTCGTACTGCATTAATGCACAGCCGATTGCGAAATCGCTGGCATCACAGACCACATGAAATGGCCTGTCCTGATCGGCTATTGCTAGGACTGGGGATTGTATCAAGCTCTGCTTGATACCCTCAAAGGAGCGTTGACATTCAGCGTTCCATAACCACCTCTCGTTCTTTTTCAACAAACGAGAGAGGTGTACAGTCATCTCGGCGTAATTGCGTGAATACTTATGCAAATACGCCGCTAGCTCAAGGAATTTTCGAAGACCTTTGACATCGACCGGCACAGGCCAGTCGGTGATCGCCTTGATCTTTTCGGGATCAGGACGTACACCGTTCTTACCAACGATGCACCCAAGAAGTGGTATTTCGCTTGCTGCAAATATACACTTCTTGAGGTTTACATACAATTGATGCTTTCGCATGATTGTAAGAACTTGTCGGACGTGGTACTTGTGAACCTCAACGTCCGACTTTCCATCCATAGCTCGACTATGGATGAATACGTCATCGAAATAACTCGGCGCGAATTCTCGTACTGGCCTCAACAGATGTGATACACACCTGTTGAACGTGGCAGGGGCATTACTGAGCCCTTGTGGCATTACTAGCCATTCCCAGAGCATGCCGCTAGGCGTGCTAACTGCGGTATAGGGTATATCCCGTTCCCGCATTAGGATTTGATAGAAGCCATCCATCAAATCCATGGACGAAAAGATGGTACTCTTTGACATACCATCAATGATTACGTCCTTCCTCGGTATCGGCGTCTGAGCCGGTACCGTTGCAGCGTTCAATTTGTTAAACGCGTGCACTATCCGCCACCCTCCTGTTGCTTTTCGCACACAGAAGGTCGGAGAGCTATGTGGGGAAGTTGATTCCCTCACATGGCCCGCTGCTAAACGATCGGCAAAGAACTTGTCGATCGCAAGTACTTGTTCACGAGGCAGTGGCCACTGCTTCATGACACAGTACTTCGAGCCTGGTTTAAGCTCG